ACGCCGTCTACGGCGGCATCAGAGACATCACATGCAAGTACCGAGGCGCGAACACGAGAAGCCTCAAGCGCCGCTGTGGACCGTAGCTCTTCCCCATCAATCGTCCAAACTCGGTCTCCACGTCGAACACACCTTGCACGAGTGGCGCAGTGGCAACCACATCCCAAGAAGAGAAAATCGTCTAAGTCCACCCAATGAGGAAACAGCTTGCTTACTAAGTGTTTAGAAAAAAAAATCGTCCCGGGCGTTTGTCAATCGAAATAAACCTTGAATGACCATTGATCAATCGGAACTTGTCTTGTCCATCTGCTTCTACCCACCAAGTTGTCTCATTGCTTCGCTGACTCGTCTTATGGCGCTGCCATTTGACATACCAATCAGAGCCATGTAGCCCTAGAGAGTCAAAGCCAAATAAGTTTCGTATGGAAAAGAAATGGGATTTATTTCAAAATAAATGATTTTCTGGTCTTTGGGCTGCTATGGCATCCACAGGAAGCGTATGAACACAAGAGCACCCTCGTTTGATCCGCAAAAATTTAGCGCTTCTGCTGTGCTTGATTTGAAACGCACAGCAGACAGAATCGCCGAGCACGACCCGAAATACTGACTGCCAATTAATCGCACCTGCCTCAATCCCAAGAGCAATATGTTGTTACAAAAAGGGAATACATATGTTACTTTCAAGGAGGTGACCGAACTATCCCGCTGAACAACATATTAAGGTACATTCACCCCGACATCTTGATCTGACAATAATTATCTGACATTCGCGAGAGCGCGAGAGCGTCGAAAAGTTTTTTTTTTTTTTCTTCAGCGGATACGAGCATGACTTGGCTTTACAAGCAGAAGGATGCTTTACCACGAGGACCAGGCAGAAGGACCCCCTCCCATGGCGTATGATACAAGACGCTTAGCCATGGAAAAGCCATGGCAATGAAGCATGAAACAGCGTGCAGTGTGTCGACGCGGGTAGGGCAGATGGCGCTGTGGTGAGACTTTCAGAGCACCTGCGCACGACAGACAGAAGTCATGCCAAGCGCCAAGCGCGGAATTGACGAAGAGGAGAAGCGCGATCTGAAGATGCGCACTCTGATCACAATCACAACACATCGACATTGTGTTTGCACCTCATTATCCCCGCAAACAAGGCTCACCCAAACGCTAACACTGTCATCGTCATTCAAAAGTGTGAATGGATGCACTCATCTGCATCTAGAATGCTTGCATGATTTATCTTGGCTTGTGTTTACAAGCAATCGATCTCGCTTGCTCAGAAGACAAGCAATCGATCTCGCTTGCTCAAAACCTTACAAGCATCTGGCTCTGTCTCTTTCCATTTTTTGACGATTGAAATCTGTTTGCCCGCCGGCCCGCTCGGCCGTCCTACAGAACGTGAGGTAAGACATGGCAGATGGGCGGGAGGGGAAGATCCATTCGGTGCAGCGCGTGGTGATCAGGGCCGCATCTTCACCAGATCGGTAGCGAGTAAATACGCACATCAAGCCTCATGTTGACAAATTACATTTTCCGTCGGGACGATTCAGACAGCAGCATGAGATTTGGCCAAACAGCCCACCCTTGGGGGCTGCTAAGCTTTTTGCTTGTCATGTCCATCACCTCCGTCATCGCAGAGAATGCCACACCCTTGCTAACGGTGGCTGGAGGCCAGATGCAGGTCACGACCACCACCGGCTTTGTTGTGGATGGCTGGGACATTGTTGCCACCCTGTCCCACATGCTTGCCGAAGCTGCCGCGCTCAACGCATCCACAGCTGCTCAACAGCTCGCCGCAGCCAGCCGCCTTGAACGCCTGGAAACGCGCGTCGACGCCCAGGCCGCTGATATCATCTCCCTGCGCATGCTCGCTACCAGCCTCCAAACCAACCTGACTGCCACTGCCGAGCGCGAGACGCAGCTTGAGGCCAAGGTCCATGACCTCACGGCGCAGCTGGCAGCTGCAATCAATCATCAAACCTTACTGCAAGAACACATCGCCAACCTCACCAACGGCACAGAACAACGGCTGGACACCCTCGCGCAGGAAGTGGATGCCGCAACCGATACTGCCACCGGCGCACAATACAACATCTCGTTCCTACAGGAAACCATCAAGACCTTCAATGGCGAGCTGGAGCGCATTGATGAAGCCTTGGAGCAGGTCGGGGCTGACACGAGGGTCGAAGAAGTTTTCATTGACGCAGGCAGTGGCTATGCTCAACTCTACGACAATGACGCCTGGCATACGCTACAGTTGAGTGTGAAACTGCCCTCGGTTCCCGCCGTCACGGTCTGGCGCAACCGCTTGGTGTCTGCGGGAGGGGGAGGGTCGAGCGCTGTCTTTGCCATCTCCGCGACAGGCGCTGCGTCCCGCCTCCCAGATCTACCCAGAGTTGTGGCCAGCGCCGCTGCCGCCACCTTTCGAGGTACGCCTTTAACCAGACCGGAGCGGACCAACTCCCTCGAATGGCACAGCCCAGGCCTCCGTTGTTCATCTTGCCTGTCGTTGTGATTGTTTTTATTCCTTCTTTCTTGTCACGCTCGTGGTGTAACCTTTGAACAATGGCTCTCCTGCCCGCTGCTTGACAGACAAGATCTTCGTTGTGGGAGGTGTCCCTGACAACGACAACGGCCAAAACCGACTGCGCAGCGTCTACATGTTTGATGGCATCTCGTGGAGAACTGGGCCATCCCTCAACGGCGCTGGTCGTGCGGGTATCTCGTGCGCTCCTTTTCAAGGTTAGTCTTTGTCGCCACCAACGCTCTTTTTTCTAGGTCGATTCCCGCCGTTCAACACTATCATGCTATTTTCCAATCTACTACAGATGAGCTCGTGTGCGTGGGTGGCTACTACTACATCAATAGCAGAGTTCGCTGGAGCTCAGTGACCACAGTTGAGATTTACGATGGCTCAGCCTGGAGATATGGGCCAAGCTTGCCACGGCCAACGTCCCAAGTGGGACTTGTGGCCTACCAGGAGTCCCTTTACATCTTTGGTAAGCTGGGCGTTGCTGTGTTGGGGCACATGCTGGCCGGCCACGCTTCCAGTGTTACGTCTGTCCATCGCTCGTACGGCTCACGGACATTGGTCGTGGCTGGATGCCAGGTGGCCTGGATCACGAGAACGTCTATTCCTACTACAACTCGATTTTGAGATTAGATGACTTGAACAAAGGATGGACGCAGCTCGCACTCACGCTGTCCACTCCGCGCGCCGTCAACTCGGCAACCATCTTTCGTGGTGAAGTGTTATTGGTGGGCGGCTTCAACGGTCCCTCAGATCACACTGGACTTTTGAAGATTGTGGAGAGCTTCAATGGCACGGCCCTCACGCGCCGCCCCAATCTCATGCACGCCACCTTCCTAAGCGAAGGCGGTGTTCTCAAGACGAAAGCCTTTGCTTGATGACGGCGCGTGCTAGGAGAATGCCTCTCCCGAACTCCCGAAGTCAAGTGTTGGCCTTTGATACAAGTGTTGGTTACCACACAATTGAGTTGATCTCGTGAACGCTACCAGAGTTGCCCGAACCCATCTGCTCGAACAAAAGTGAGCGCTGTGACGACCAGGGATAAGCCAAGCCGTGCCGAGCTGGCTGTAGGAGTACAATGTCATTTCCCATTCCTAAGGGAAAAAACACAAAAATTAAATCCTCGTACGTGTGGTGCCGAATGGTATCTCCAAAGGTTGAGTTTTTCTTGTTCATGTTAGGGTTGTAGAACTCACAACTCACAGACGTCGCATCGAGCATGAGGAAGATACCCCCGGGAGGGGAAAAAAAGATATTTTTTGGGGGCCGACTTCCGCTTCGGATTGTGCGCTCAGCTATCAATGGGAAGGAGTAGCGCCCGGAGACGACGTTGCCACTCGCACTCAAAGTGAGCCAGACATCATCTCGGAAAAAATTATGAGAAATTCGCACGACACAACAAATGCATGCATGCATCCACAATTTCCGGCTCCGTCCGCCTGCTGATCGACCTCCTTGATTTTAATCCTGGCGTCGCCTTTTTTCGGCATTGCCATCGGCAGGACCTGCTGGCAATGGGTGACTGGGCGCAGTTTTCAGTCTTAAACCATGAATGCCCTGGCCAATGAGGCCTCGGCTGCCACCAAGGGCACCCTTTCAAAGCGACGATGCAGGATTTTGGGCTGGGCATTGCCCCCACTGCTGTTCGCAAGCATTCTACTGTTCTCGCTGCGGGACGCTCGTTCTGATGCCTCTGAACCGGTTCCAATCCACGGCAGGGATAATCGTGTTGTGCCCCTGCTTTCAACGGCCGTGCCAGCTTCCACTCCACACCACCCTGACGTTGCCCTGGTCCTTGCCACCTCCCTGGGCGGCAACTACTCTACAGCTCGCCGTCAGGAAGTTACGCGGGTCCTCGCTGCCAACTTGGCTCTGCCCTATCTTCAACGCCTCATCGTGCTTGCTGAGCACGGCGCGCGCTCAGCGTTTCCTATTCTGAATCAAAAACATGGCAAGCTACGCGTGGTTCAGCTCAAGACACAGCCAACTTACACGGACCTTTTTAATGCTGCCAGCACCGGCGCAACGCAGCCCAACCAGCTGATTGCAGTTGCCAACACGGATATCGAATTTGGACCAACCACGCTGGCCTGCATAGGCCCTTCTCGATTCCAGGATCAAGCCCTGATTTACGCCCTCACCCGCCACCCACACCCCGACTGCCCAAGCAGATCAGGCGGTGGAGCGCATCCCAGCTTACCCCAAAATCTGTGCACTCAGCAACGCCAGCGAGACAATGCATGGATCAATTCGGCCGATACATTCATCACGTCAGCTCCTGTGCCTTCAGCCGTGCTGACCGAAATTGGCCACGTGCAAAACCGCCTTGGGGCCGAGAATCGCCTCCTCTACTTTTTTGCGCGAGCCGGCTACACCGTGGAGAACCCGTGTGTGGACATGCCAACTTTTCACCGTCACTGCACAGGTGAACGAGCACCCACCGCCCAGCGCGGCGCCCAGCGCGTAGATGCACGCACGCCCTTTAAACTCGGACGCCATTCTCTCCCCACCTGTAACATGTCCCACACTATCGCTCCTGTCAAGTAGATTGAATTGAACTTCCCAAACTTGTCTCCACCAAAAATAAAAAATAAACACCAAAAAACCAACCAAAAAAAAACCAAAAAAAAAAACCAGTGCATGTACATGCAGAGGCATCAGCGGGCTCAAGACGAGCCCTACTGCATCGGCGCGTAGCTGTAACGCGCGCGATCGCACTAATGCACCCAGTACCGAGTGCATCAAGTGGGCCAGTGAATGACAATCTTTGGACTTGTGAGAGAGCTGAGTTACACAAACGTCAATTTGTTTGATCAAGTTTTACTGGGCCGTCTGCAGCAGACAATTGATGGTATGTTCAATACGGGAGAGAGAATCCTGCATGCCTCCGCGTCGATTGCGGGCCAGCCAGAGCTATTGATGGAGTGCCAGCAAAACGTTTCCAGCGTTAGAATTCCTCCTCCCAAAAAGTGACTTTTCATAACATCTGAAAGCATACAGATGTTCTCAGAATGGCCAATCACGTACATCTTTGTACGGCCCAACAAGTGCCAGCAGACGATTGGCCAGATCTGTGCGCGCCGTATTGGGAAGCTCGGCAAGCGAGGCACTGTGCTTGACCTGTACCGAGGCCAGCAAACATGCAAAGACTGCAAATTGACCGGCAAGGTGAAGCTCTTGTGCCGTCTAGAGGTCATCGCGCATTTGGCACACGGACAAGCCAAGCACGTGATGGGCAAGCGAGCGCAGTGAAATCACGTCAGCAAACAATAAATGGAGCTGATGGATCTTTGGAGGGTCAAAACGAAAACGGGTGGCAACAGTACATACCAGGTGTGTTTCAGCTGTCAGTTTATCCCGCGCCAAGATAGCATCGAGCAGCGCCAGCTGCTGCTTCAAATGCTTGTGGCACTGGCGCAGCTCCTGTGCATCCATGTGGGTCCACCTGCGGTCACATGAATGAACCGAAAGCTTTCGTGAGCACTCCGTAATTGATATACGCTTTGCATGCAGGGTGTCGACGATCGACAGGCCGTACACATGCGTGTCGTCGCCAGCAAAGATAAAAAAATGGAAGAGCGCAGCTCCATTCCTATTCAGCCGCGGCTCTGTGCTGGCCAGCTGATACGTGTTGCCCAAGTCCAGCAAAATGCGTCCCAGACCATCTAGCCGCGGCAGGAAGGACGTGAGGTCAAGGCTTATTAGACAGAGCCCCATTTTGGCATCCGTCACGACACTCACCGGCATTGGTTCCAAAGACGTGAAAGTCCAGAAGAGCTGCGAGGTCCACCTCGTTCCAGTCATCGGCGTCATCCACGCCTTCCACGCAGCGCTACAGTGACGTGACCATGAAATAACACACAAAAAACAAATGATCAAAATAAGAAGGAGTAGAAGAAAAAAAGAAAGCAGGCTCTCAAGTGCCCCGAAGCGACTCCTCCGCTCCTCATTGATTTCCCGAAACCAAAACCTACCGTTGCAAAGCGGTTCCAGGACAGGCCGGCAAAGGCCGTCAAACCCGGGTAGGACACAGACCAAGGCTGCGTATGACCATGGTCCCCCCAGTCTGTGATCATGCTGCCCAGACCATCGTGACGCAATGCCGCCTGCACAGCGCTTTTGATGTTGCTGATGCATTCTTGCGTGCGACCGGTCTATGAGCGACCACACGCAAGTGCAAGTTTTCATCATGTTGAGACGCAACCAAAGAAAGGACAAGAGGCGAGAACTCTGTAGACTCGCAACGAGTTGGCCGTTTGGGGTCCGCCACGTACGATAGAGTTCCAGGAGGAGGTGCCGCAGCACGTGTAAAAGGGGATTGCGGCGTCCGCCATCATCTGGCACCTGTGTGGCAGTTGATTCGGTGTCATGATTCAGGCGGAGGCAGCATGACTCATATCGATATTGACGCACCGCTTGTCAAAGGGGTGATTTGCTTCATAACCCCACTCCATCGCAATCACGTCCGAGGGCAGCGAAAACATTAGCAACGCTGCATCCACATATTTGCCGCAACAAGTCAGCGCGCGCGGTCCAAACCAGCACGCAAGGTTTTGGCCAGCTACAACACTGGTCAAGAGCATGATCTTTGCGTGCACGTGCCATGCACAAGTCAGATTCAAACCACTTACGGTCGAAATCAAAAAGCATGTCGGACCAGAACATCATGGTTCGCTTGTGCTTGCGGCAGGCCTGGCGGATCTGGCGTAGGTACTGCAGATATACATCTCCCGTGCCTTCAGCCTCGCAAATTGGGCGCGAGCGGCCCTTGCCAATGTCCACCGTTTCGTCCAACCCGACGTTGGCGAGGCTGGAGGAGCGGAAATGAGGAAAAAGCTCGTCATACAACGACGAAACCAATTCAACACTCCTGAGGTCGCGAAGAAACATGGAATCAGAATCGGACAAGCGGTTGACTCAAACGTCAAGCGAGCGCGCAACACCAAGTGCTGAGTTGCAGGCATAGACATACCGAGGATCGACGGGACAAAGGGAAAAGGGGACATCAGGAGGGCCCGATGGCCGGTTGCCAAAGTCGATGCCGTTAGGGCATTCTGCGAGATGACCTACACAGTGCGCCCCACAAAAGGAAGACACGCAATCACGTCAGCAGGCGAAATAAGAAGGAGCAGAAGAGGGAAAAAACAAACAAAGACGGATGAAAAAAGAAAAAAGACAAAAAAAAAAAAAAAAAAAAAAAAAAACAAGTTGAGAGCCCAACCCCAGCATGATTGCGTCTACGCACGATATTCGTCATGGCGAAGAAACCGATGAAAGTGACCGCAGGAATTTTGGTTGGGGACCAAGCTGATGCCATGTCGTGCGCAGTAATCGTCCAGCTGCAAAATGTCTGGCGTCACGGCAGCAAAAGGGTGATTTATTGTCAGGTTTGAACATGGGCTGTCACGACACCAACATGTGCGTACCAGCGTGGGTGTAGGGGTCAGCGCCACGCCAAACCACTTCATGGTCTGCGTATGCAAAAGTGTGTTCCATGTACAGCTGCAACTGATTCATCTTGAATAAACACATGAGGTCCACAATCTCCTTGAGGCTATTGAGGGTCGGAACTTTGTCCCGCGACACATCGAGCATAAAGGCTCGATTCGGCAGGAGAGGCCAATCCGAGATCCGCACACTTGGAATGCCCCGATTGTCATCGTCATCAGTATCCTACGACTCGGTAGCAATTCAAGTACCAAGTGGAACAGGCCAGGAGATGGAATGAAACCAAGGCGGGAGATGCGGGGCGGTCAATCGTGTACACTTTACCATCTGGCTGCCAGAAACGGCCTCGGTTAGCTTGGATAATTGAATGAGTGTAGAAACGGCATGCCGCAACCCCGCCACATCCCCACCCACGAGAACAGCACTTCAAAAGAAATCAACAAGGTCAGACGGACCACAGGTGAGGTGACAAAAAAAAAAAAAAAAAAAAAAAAAAAAAAAAAAAAAAAAAAAAAAAGTCTGTTCTTTTATTTGGCTAAGCGGGGTCACCAAACTGCAGCTTACCCCGAGCGCTCGACGATGATGCGATAGGATTCTGGGCGTGTTTGTAGCGTAGGCTTGATACTAATTTGGTTGAAAAGAAAGGACATGATTGCATGGTGAGTCTTGGCACCAGGACCGGATGCAGTGGAATGAGCTTTGCCGGCCAGCTGGCCTGAGGGCCGAGGCATACCGCAAGGTAATTTGTGAGCCGCGCCCAGGGGAAAGGCAGCGGGAGACGGTGCAACCTTGCTTGCCCAGTCCGCGCGCCAGATACTCAAACACGGGGTCAACGTCAGAGCCTGCCGTGCCTAGAAAAGAAAAGCCAACCCGCAATGAGTCAAGCAGGCAGCCCGAGACAGTGCAACTCGTGCAGAAGCCTACTTGGGGCCATGTAAACGTCGACTTTTGACCCCAGGAGAAGGCGGCGACCCGGCAATTGTGTCATGCGCTGTGGGCTGGGCCAGAGGAGCTGCGTAGGTGGGCGTGCGGCGATCAGCGTAGGCACTGTAATCTAAAGGGACAATGGATGGAAGCAGAGCCAAGCGGCACCGAGGCAAGGCTTCATACCCGCAGGCGATTGTCAATGGGTAGATCACTCATAACGACTATTGTTAAAAGGAGATGACGTGGGGGCGCGCAAAAGGCGAAACATGAGCGTGTGATTGGGCATGGTGAAGAATGGGCTGCACGCACGCATGTTTCTCACACGCACCATCGGCCGTGGCATCGCCGTCGGAGAGCTGGATGGATGTATCCTGTTCATCAGCCATGCTGGGGTCCAAGGATGTCTCTTGGGGTTGCTCTTGCGCCGATGAGGGCTGTGCACCTTCATCACTCAAGGTAGCGGAGGAGCCATCTTCCTGCGCCCCTGAACTCGCAGAAGGGGGCGTGAGGCCATCGCCCTTCTGATCCATGGCTTGGTTAGACTGGGCCTTCATTTGGGCTGGCCTTTCAGCAGACGAGGCCGAGCTATCGGCATTCATGGGCTGTGATGGGCCCTGGTTGTGTAGTCGATCCATGGCGACACGATACTCGTCCTCGGCAAGGCTGTCAGCCGCTTGCTGCATGACGCGATCGAAGCGCTCGAGCCAGGAGAGGTGTTCAATCTGATGCGGGTAGGTGTGCAGACAAGGCTCGGTGAGTGCGCAAAAAGAACAATGCTTCGTAGCCACGCCAGGTCGAGGCAGGCTTACCTCTTCTTCCGGGCGTCGGCATTGCTCGGCAGCCACAAAGAGGGCGCGAATCTGAACAGGTGTGGTGATTGGCGAAGAGAAGCAGAGCCAACAACAGCGAGAGCATGGCAACACGAGTATCAGTTTGGCCTGTCAGGAGACGGCGCGAGACCGAGGCGGATGGCATATTCTGGGGCTGACCTCGCCAGCCTCTGGACCCTCGGTGAGCATGTCAATGGGCCTGCGGCTAGCGTAGCTGCCACTGCGGCCGGCTTGGTCCAGTTGAGCGTTGGCCGCGAGCAAGAGCTGCCGGGGTCAACGGCACGCAAGTGAGCTGCCACAGGGGCGGAGAGGTGTCCGGGGCCAAAGGTGCACCAAAATAAAGGAGGCCAAGCCAAGTCACGTACCCGAACCATATCCGCAGATCCGCGGCGCACGGCGTCATGAAGTGGAGTAGCGCCCTCGGCGTTGGTGGCATTGGGATCGGCGCCTCGGTCCAGCTGTGTCACACAGGCATCAGGGCAAAGGGAAAGGTGGAGATCAGCACAGGGTTGACCACCCTGTCTAGTCGCGCACAAGAGCACGTGACGCGGGTCGTGGAGACGAACCAGCAGCTGCAGGGTTTCGGCGTTGGCAAAATGGGCCGCCCAGTGAAGTGGGGTGTTTTGGCTAGACAAGTGAGTGTTTGGGAAGTGAGGGGTCAAACAAAAACAGAGACAGGATGTGTGTGTGTGTGTGTGTGTGAGTCAGAATTGGAGGTCGAATGTGCCGGCTCTGTTTCGCGGTCAGGCAGGGCATTAGTACCTGGCAGCGCCATCGGTGGCATTGACGTGGATGCCGGCCTCCAGTAGGTCAGTAATGGTTGCCTTGTCGTTGGTGGCAATGCTCTAGCGGGGCGGCGGATACGTGAGAGCCGTCTGAGGCATTTATGTGTGTGTGTGTGTGTGTGTGTGTGTGTCTTTCGTCCTCGTAGGTGTGTTTGAGGAAAATAAGGGTCATACCTGCAGCAGGGCGTTGAGGAGGACGTTCACCATTTGAGGCTCGAGAGCGACAGACTGAAGCAAGCCTTGGCCATCAGAGGCACCTGGTTGCTCTGCACATTGAACCGCAAGCAGTGCGCGTCAGGTTCAGGGCCTGCCACGTCGTGTGCCATTTGGTGCGGCAAAAGAGAGAGGAGCTGGGCGTTGGCAAGACAGGGCCACAGACCAGCAAGTCGCGCGCCTGCGGCGATGAGGGCGCGCATGGCATCGGTGCGATTCAGGCGGAGAGCATATTGAATGGCCGTCTCTGAATGTTCACCCTGCGAGTCAGGGAGGCACGTTTAGCACTGAGGTGATGATGGCGATCAATCACGCAAAAAGCACACGAGGTACATACGCGCACGCGAGGCTCTAGCACGATGGCGGCAAAAACGGCATTGCGCTTGGCTTCGGCGATGACGGTGGCGACCACATCACTGCGATTGGCCTCGATACCCTCAAACAGGCCATCAACCAGCACCCCTGACATGCTGCTGATGGATGCCGGGAACTACACCAGCTTCAACGGCAGCGCTGGGAGGGGAGCTTCGCGCCGGTGTCGTCGGTGTCAGTGTGTGTCACTGGCTCGATCGCGAGAACGGAATGCAGCGACGAAAGCAGTGACGATAGATTATTCAAATGCTGACAACTGGGTTGTACAACAGCTGGTGAAAACGACTGTTGCAGCTGGCGGACACCCTGACTTGGACAAACATTTGGTAACCAGCTCTACTGTCACACTATATCACACTAACTCTATAACAAAGTGTAAAGTGTTTCACAGTAACGTTTTCAGCCCTTGTCAGAGATGGCTGACCAAAGGGTGGGACTAAGGACTTGATGCAGTTAAACCGTGAGAAGTTGTTGATCACAACGTCATATAAGTTATGGTTAACGTCGAAGCATCAGTAGTTATCGACGTTGCGGCGTTGGCCATCGGCGTGCCATAGGTCGGCGAGATGAGATGGCAGCAGTGGCAGTGGGTGGGATGAGCAAGCAAGCGGGTCCCAAGGGTGAGGGCAGAGACGGGCGCATGCACGCTACATCGGGGTGGTGATGGGAACCACACACATGGTTCCATGTTGTGTACCTTGTGAGTTGAAGCAAGTAGGCAATGGCTGGCCGCCGTAGGAGCTTGTTGTTGTGCTGTCGAGAACAATGGGGCAGGGTCTGGGCTCGAGCCATTGGCCCCGGACGGCTGAATAGCACGAGCCCAGCGCGCGCCTCTCTTTTATGCAGCCGTCAGCGAACCAAGATGGCGAGTGGGGGCTAAGGAGGGCAAGCGATCTGGACCACGCCCCAGAGCATGTCCGCGCTGGCCGCATCTGTACATTCCATTCCGATCAAGCCAAGAGCCAAGCGTCAGAGATGTAACGTCAAGCCAAGTACAATTGTAGAGATGAAATAGATCTGGTTCCCTCGTTCAGAGACCAGGTGCAGTCAGTCATTCAGATAAATAGAACATTTCAGCTAAAACCAGAGATACGCTCCAACTGAGTTCTCCCATCAGAGACAAGAATCGTCTTACATCTACACCCCAGAGACACGCCCCAGCCACACCCACAGAATGTGTGTGTGTGTGTGTGTGTGTGTGTATAAATGGCATCGCTCGTCATTTCCATCTCTCTCTCTCTCTCTCTCTCACACACACACACACACACACACTCTCTCTCTCTCTCTCTTTCTCTTTCTCTGTGGCTCTCTCTCATTTGCATCGAATCGGGTACGTGGGCTACCACTCTGCTCCTCCTTCGCCCATGCAGGATGCCCCTCCCCCTCTCTCTCCCTCCCACACACACACACACACACACGCACGCACGCACACACACACACACACACACGCATTGTGTACAGGTGACCATTGATGGCGCTGCCAGCAGTGCCGGGGTGCCTGTTCTGGCACTGAAACATTCCTTGCTCGCATCTGCCGTTGGCTCCGCCTGGGGCCTTGGATCCCCAGATGACTGACTCTACACACACACACACACACATGGGTGGCTCACCCTGCCTGCGGGGGTCCTGACTTGACTTGGTGTTTGATCAGCATCACACCGGTGGTGGCACTGCCATTTTCTCACTCCTTCCCAACTTCCTTGTTTGGACAACTACTGTAAAGACCACATCACACACACACACACACACGCGCGCCCCATCCCGCCTGCCACCCCACGTTCGTTTCCAATGTCCTCCTGATGGGCGCTGAGTCGCGACATCTCATGCCTTTCCTCTTGCACGCATCCCCCACCCCCCTCCTCCCATTTCATGTCTGCCTTCCACACACCTTTTTTTCTTCTTTCTTTTTGTTCCGCTCCGCCGCTGCCAAACCCCGCCGTCTGGTCATCTCGTGCGCCCCTTGCCTCTCACCTCTTTCTTTTACTTTTTACTTTTTTTTCTTCGTCTTGTTGCTGAACGGCGACGGACGACGACAACGCGCGTAGATTCTCTTTCAATTTGATTGACTGCCAACAAGTTCCTGCACCTGGCATCATGAGCAAGGGTGGCTTTATCAAGGTGTGTTTCACGCTTCGCTCCGTCGTGCAGTGCCAACCCCGCTGCGTTCGGTTCCTGACCAAATTAAAATGATCCGCCTCACGTGTCGGCTCTGCATCATATCGTCAGGAATACAAGCTCGTCGTCGTGGGCGGCGGTGGTGTCGGCAAGTCGGCCCTCACTATCCAGTTTATCCAGTCACACTTTGTGGTACGCTTGCACACCGCCACCGATCGCCATGTCTCTTTTCCCCTCTGCTATCCTCTCTCTTTCCTCGCATCTGCTCTTTCCGACTCGCACCTTTGGCTCGACGTCTTTCCTCGGAGTGCCCGCCGCTGTTTGCCATGACGGCTGGCTACGCTGCCGCCCACCACTTTTCACCCTCCCTTTTGTTGTGGGCAACTGCAGGACGAGTATGATCCCACCATTGAAGACTCATACCGCAAGCAGTGTGTGATTGACGAGGAAGTGGCCCTGCTTGACATTCTTGACACAGCCGGCCAGGAAGAGTATTCGGCCATGCGCGAGCAGTACATGCGCACCGGCGAAGGCTTTCTCCTCGTGTACAGCATCATTGACAAAAACTCGTTTGAAGAGATTCAGGGCTTTCATAGCCAGATCCTCCGCGTCAAGGACAAGTATGTCCCTCCCCTTGAGTCTTGGTCTGATCTGCTCCTCTGTCTCGATTCTCTGGTGTTTTTTTATCTTTTTATTTTTATTTTTTCTTCCTTTCGTCTCTTCTCGGCACTTCTCGGCTCATCCTGTTCATTGGGGCCCGAACTCATCTTTGGATCCTCTGTTATCAATAGGGACACTTTCCCCATGATCTTGGTGGGCAACAAGTCAGATCTCGACTCGGAGCGGCAGGTGTCCACCGGCGAGGGCCTCGAGCTTAGCAAGCAGCTGGGCATCAAGCACGTTGAGACCTCCGCCAAGCAGCGTGTCAACGTCGACTTTGCCTTCCACGAACTTGTCCGTGTCATTCGCAAGTACAATCGCGAGAACATGCCGCAGCAAGCGCAAAAGAAGAAAGGCGGTTGCATCATCCTCTAAAGTGGATGAGTCACCCCCACCTACCCCGCGCCAATCCCCCTTGGTTCTTCTTTACACTGACGACCCCCCTACATTGCCCTTCTTGGCCGTTGAGCGGCACGGGCATGGCGGTGTGAGGTCAGGTCCGGCTTGGCCGGCGACGCTTCGTGGTTGATCCTTCATTTTCTTGGTTGTCGTAAAAGCCCTTCTCTTGCTTTTTCTTCCGTCTCCTCTTGTGCATGTTTGTGTGTGTTTGTAGTTTTTCTTTCTTTAATCTCGTGTTCCTTCCGTGTCCCATGTACTTTGGCCAACTGCCGGCCCCTGCCACGTTGGTTTATGTGCTTGTGATTGCAGTAGTCATTCACAGCCCCAAGATAATGTCGACAGCGAGATGGTCGGCACGCACAGCCAGCACTCGTCACGTTTCCTTTAGATTGGGTCTGGTGTGCTGGATTGATGATGACGACTGGACCTTCACCCTGTGGCTCATTTTTTGTTTGCCCCTTTCTTTCTTTTTTCTTTTCCTCCTTTTAAAATTTCAAAATCTTCAAACGACATTCCTGATATCAAGCGATCAGAGTTGGAGTTGATGACGTACCTACAAACGGGAGAGAGAGAGGCGACCCAACGTCAGGCTCGCTGCCAATGGCCATTTGGTCCAATGCGTGTATGACGTCCAACATTTGCCTTGAAAAGAACGAGCAGCTTCAATTGTCAAAAAACAACAACACTCGTGTGGAGAACAAGATCGTGGACAGCACAGCACAAGACCACGGCAACAACCTTATGGCAAACAACATGTGCAGATGCAATGAGGGCGCATGGAGTAATTAAAAAACATCATGGGATGAAGAAAAAAAAGATCCAAAAAAAGAAGAAAACCGGTGTATTGACAATATCCACAATGCGTGGCTGAAAGATGGTGACCAAAAAAAAAGAGAGATGGTTGTAGGAAAATAAGGTCATGGACGGAGACGTAAGGTAGGCAGGCACCAAGATCAGGCCTCAGACGCAGGCCACGGGTCAGGAAAAAAAATCAACCATCAGAAGGAATGGACAAAACTGGCCTAAACAGTACAAAGGCGGCCGGCATGCGGATGCGGGTCGCCATAGGTGGGTGGCACCAAGTTGATGACGAAGAGAGACAAAAAGTAGAAAAGAGCGTACTATGACGTAGGGATGGGTGCCTGTTGCTTGCTTTGTAATGCTTGAATGATGGGCTCACGTTTGGCGTGGTAGAGGCGGCGAAGCTCGTCCAGTTCTTGTTCCTTTTCCATTTCCAGCAGCTCAAGCTTGGACTGCAGCTCCTCCAAAGTGGCTGTTGGTTGAGCACTCGCTGGCGTGTCAACCGCCTCTGTCCCTTCATCCTCATCCGAACCGTTTGAGGCTTGCTTCTCAAAGTGAGCCATAAAGGCAGGCTTGTACGAGCCGACGTCCTGAACAACGCGCTGCATGGTGTCGCTCTCTTCGTGCATGGTGTTCATCGTGCCCATGTCCGGCCCGGTGTTGCTATTGACCACCATGGTCCCCGAGAGCACATTCATTGTGCCAGAATCCACAAAGTCATCCTCATCCCGAACCACCATGGTTCCCGGGGCGGCACCACCGACGACCATGGTACCCGAATCCACCTGACTACCAGGAGCGTGGGTTTGGCCCTCACCCTGGCTGTCATTGTCGTTTTCGGCATCGTCATCGGAATCCTCCTCCTTCTCGGGGTAACGGCCATGCAGCTGAACAATCTCGGCTGCCTCGGCAATAGCGGCAGCCATTGTCTGCTGCGAAGGCTTGGCGTTGGCCAGGAAGGGGTGCTCTAGCAGGTCCTGGGCCGAGGCACGCAGGTCGGGATTTTTCTGAAGGCAGTGCGCCAAAAAGTCATTAAACTGATCGGACCAGTTGCTGGGCCGGCGGAGACGGGGGGCATCGTGGGTGGGAATCATGAAGATGGCGCGCATGGGATGAACGTGGGCATGAGGGGGTTTTCCCTCGGCCATTTCAATGGCGGCAATGCCGAGCGACCAGATATCAGCTTTAACGTCGTAGCCAATCTCCTGGATCACCTCTGGTGCCATCCAGTAGGGTGTGCCAATAACTGTGTTCCGCCTCGCCATGGTATCAGTGAGTTGTCCAGCGACGCCAAAGTCGGCCAATTTGGCCTCGCCCAGGTCGTTGAGCAGAATGTTGCCGGCCTTGATGTCGCTGCAGCGTAACCATGCCATGAGGTGGGCCAGAAGTGAGTGCATCAGTCGCGTCAGGTCGGGCCAGTTTCAACACACCACGAGTGACATCAGTAGATGAAGGAAGGCCAGGGAGGGGGAATCATACCGATGAATTTTGTTTGTGGAGTGCAAGTAAGCCAGGGCTTGGACGGTTGATAAAAGAATCGAGGCAATCTGAGCCTCACTCATCTGCCCAGATCATGGGTGCATTGAGATGGGCGCGGCGTCGTTGGCGGCTTGGGCATGTCGCAAAAGAAGTCGGGGGGCATGCAGAGATAGCGTGGGGGGGGGGGGGGGGGGGTAAAAAAACG